GCTGCTGTATGTGTGTCAGCGATGACAAGCCCACCGGGGCCCGCCAGGCACCACGAGGGGTAGGGGGTGCATGCAGCGGCGGGCATGTCTCTAATTATTTCCCTGCTTTTATTTTGTGGCGTGCAAAGTAGCTTTTGTCCTGGAGCTGCTGCTGCTGCTGCTGCGACCCCTCCTCCCCCGGCCCGGCCCCGTAGTGTCACGGCGACTGCCATCCCCGCAAAGGGTCTCACCTCCGGGACTTCCCTTTCGTAATATAAATTAGAGGGCCCGGCCCCGCCCCGCCCGGGCAGGGGAGGGGATGGGGGGGGGGCAGGCAGTCTGGCCTCATTTAAGTCCCTCGCTTGGGGGATCCCTCCCCCTCCCGCCGGAGGGGGAGTCTCTACATGGTGTGCGTCGTACTCAACAGTTGCACGGGCCCGGCGTTTTGTTTGCGGTCTTACAGAACACTGTAAGGAGGCACTGCTGTGCGATGATGCATGTCTCCGCTTCTTTCCTCCCTCTTTGTATCAAAATAAAAATAATTATTATTATTCATGTAAGAATGCGGGAAGTCGATTCTGCATAACGCAAAGCCAGCCCTCCTTTCCCCCTCCTTCAACTCTCTAGCCTTTCCCGTTCGCCTTTGCCCGGCCCGCCGGCCGAAGTTGAGCTTCAAGTGATGACTTTTGCTCTGAGCATTCCGAATGCATGAAGAGGGGCCCTGCCGACCCCGCCGGGCCCCGCCCCATAGCCATGGTTTGCATATTTCAGTCCAGACGATGAGGCGTGGCGGCGCGCGGGGCGTAGGATGCCAACTTGAGGCCGGATGCTTTCTCGACGCTGACGCCGCCAAAACTTCCGCACGTCACAATACCCCCTCAGCGCCCCCCTGCCCCCCTCATTTTCCTCGGCCTCTTTATAATACAACGGAGATACGGCACTCCGGTTCAGTAATCCCGGCGCTCGCCAGACGGGCGGCGGCGCGCGCGCACGGGGACGACTGTCCTTCCCCCGTCAGCCGGCAGCCCTCCACGCTTCTGCTCCGCCCCGCTCCGCCCCGCCACACCACGCTGCGTCGCGGATTTCCTCCTCTCCCTGAAGTACGTTGCCCTGCTGGTCAGAGCCCTTGCCCGGCAGCAGCCCGGCAGCAGCGCCGCCGCCCAAGTGGAGCGCGAGGCACAAAAGGGGGATTAGCTCTCCGCCCGGTCTGCAACGAATACGCATTTCACCAGATCAAAGGCCTGATTTCCCGCAGGAGTACGCGCGGAGTGCGTGCGCGGCTGGCGCGCGCGGCGGGCTTTTCGAAACAACTTTTTCCCCCGCTAACGCTAGTCCCATGCCGCCCCCCCCCCCTTTTTTTACGCTCTCTTCATCTCACAATTTTTTTGGAGGGCGTCACGGACATTATTGTTGTTGTTATGGCCGAGGGACGCCGCCGAGGGAGAAGGGAAAAAAAGTCATACAAAACACAGACACACTGCGAAAATAGCAAAAATTTAAGACCACAAGCATGGCCTCCGACGGCATGTACCTTCCCTTTACTTTCCTCTTAAACTGCACACCTACCCCCCCCCCCTCCCCTTTCGTCTACACTTCCTCTTCTTAGTGTCGCCTTTCACCCCCATCTCTTTGCCTTCGCACTCAGGAAACTCAAGTGTCGCGTACACTCTCAGCTCTCATTCCGTTACAGATTTTTATATGGTCCCTTTTTCAGTAAACTTGCTGCTTAAAAAAAAAGCTTCCAAGAATTGGTTCATATTGGAAACGCTTCAGAACCACCTAGTTCAGAACACTTCTCGCTGGTTGAAAATTAACTATAGTTTCGTAACCTACGCTTTGCAAAGCGTTTCCCTGTGTGTGACCAGACGAAAGGGCTGCGTAACATTTGAGTTTACGCGGAGTACAATAAATGTCATCACCGACCGATTGCGTCGTTTGTCGAGACTATCGACCAGCTTGGCGAGGAGGATATAAGATTTCGAGTCACTTCAAGTGACTTGTTGTTTGAAATTAAAAAAAAAAAAAAAACAACAAAAAAGCACACGACGACGTCGTCACGGGCGGCGCCTCGGCGGGCGGCGTCAGGAGTAACGCGGCCTCGTTGTCGCTGGCGGGGCTCCACTATCCTCGGGCGCGGCCCCCGTGTCAGCGACAGTCAGTGACAGAGTGCCAGTTTGTAACTCGGATTGCGTGACAGCTGCGTGTCACTCGCGAGCGCGTTGGCGTGGCGAGGGGAGAGTGCCGGCCCGACAGGTGAGTGGATGGCACGGAGGCGGCACGGAGGCGGCACCATGGAGTAGAACTGTAATGGAGAAGCAACTAAGTACGTTGAAATGTGTGCCGCGCTGGCTGGCGAAGCTATCTCCTCTGAAGCCAATGTGCTTAGAAATCTCACCCACTCAGTTTTTGGAAGCCTGTAGTCTACTGCAGCTAATGATGCCCTTGTTTT